CTTAATACAAGCCAGTAATGTGGTATTCAATTTGCAAACGTTTCTCCCATTCTGTTGTTGTCTTTCCACTTTCTGGTGGTGTTCTTTGAAGAACAAAGGTTCTTAATTTTGATGATGTCCAGTTTATCTATTTTTTTTTCCTTTTGTTCCATACACCTTGTATCCTGTCTAAAAAACAGGTTCCCAATCCCATCCCTGATCACGAAAATTTACTGTATGTTTTCTTCTAATAGTATTATAGCTTTAACTCTTCCATTTAGGTCTTTGGCCTATTTTGAGTTAATTTTTGTGTATGTGAGATGAGACCCAGCTTTATTTTTTTGCGTGAGGATATCCAGCTGGCCCAGTGTTGCTTGTTGAAAAGATTACAATTTCCCCCGCTGGTAGAAAACCAAGTGGCCTTCAGTGCAAGGTGCACCTGACTCTCCTCACTCTGTTTTCTTGCTATACATTGAGCTACTTATCTGCCCCATGTTCATAATTGTGGCTTTGTATTATGTTCTGACTCAGCAAACGTTGAGCCCTCTTTGTTCTTTGTTTTAAGATTGTCCTCAGTATTGTGTTCCCTGAATTTCTTTATGAATTTCGGGATCACCTTGTCAATTGCAGCAGAGAAGCCAGCTATCACTTTGATGAGGATTTCACTGAATCTGTAAAATTTATGTAATATGGAGTAATATGAAGTCTTCCATCCATTTAGGTCTTCTTTGATTTCTTTCAACACTGTTGTATAGTTGTCAGAATGTACTTTTTGCACTTCTTTCATTATATCTATTTCTTAAGTATTCCATTCTTGTTGCTGCTAGTATTAGAGAATTTTTTATTTCACTTTTGGTTTGCGATTGCTACTGTACAAAAATGAAATTTATTTTTGCACACTGTTCTTGTGTCCTGCGACCTTGCTGGACTCATTATCAGCTCCTGTGATTTGCTTACCACCAACAGCTCCACCTTGGGCTCCGTCTTCCCACACTCTGTTTCAAATAAACCCAGTTGTTCTAGGAGAAGCTTTGGATCTCTGGGTTCTTGTAGACAACCTTCCTGGCTCAAACTAAATGTCGGAACCACTTCTGTAGCACAGGGAAGAGGTGGTGGTCCTTGGTCTTCTTGGCTTCCCTACTGAACATGGAACTCCCGTCCTGAAGCAAGGGTGTGCAGTGATGAGGGCCCAGTACTCTTGGCTGTGCTGCCTGGTCCCTCCTGAGTGGGAGCTGGTGGAGGAAGGGAGCCTCTGACTCTAGGCCATGCCAACTGGAATAGAGGCTCTTCAGCCTGCTGTGGGCAAGAATGAGAAATGCTTCCCCCAGACAGATGCTGTAGAGAAGGGAGAGGGAGCCCCACCTTTCTGACCACACACCTCTGCCTGGAGCTTCTACTCGGCTGAGCTGTGGGAGGAGGGCAGGAGCAGCACATGGCTTCCACACCCAGCCGCTCCACAGTCTTGCCAAGTCTTAGCCCATTTTCTTGAATAGATTTCTGTTCAGTGTGGTGTGCCTTTAAGACAATTCCCAGAGACTAAGTTTTCTTAAAAATAGTTATCACAGTTATGACTGTCCACTGAGGAGTGGGTCTGCGGAGCTCCTTGTACTTCCATCCCAGAAGCGGAACCCCTTCCTGCGTAGTGTGGAATCAGGGTCGATTCTCCATGCTGTGTCTTGCAGTTCCCACCATCCTGCCCACAAGTCTGTACACAGTTCTTTCACCAGATTCTCTTCAAGTCGCCCAGTGAGTGTCCTCATGCTTCCTGCTACACTCCAAACTTATGAAACAGAGTGTCCTGAGGGCAGAGACGACACAGCTCACCATCCCGCCTCTCCAACTGTCCCACAGGGGCCATTGCGTCCACCCCAGAGCCTTCTAGTGGGTTCATGGCAGGAGACCCACAGGCAGAGGCAGGATGCTCAGTGACTGCTCCTTGTGGCTTCCTCTTGATGTGGATCACACCACTCCTGTGGCAGCAGATGCAGCTGTGGCAACTGTGGTCATGAAGCAAACGGGCAGCTGGGGTGGGACTGGTGGGAGGAACCCAGCCCTCAGTGCGCAGCTTCCTTAGGCCTTATTAGTTGTAAAGGACTCCAGCTCCCAGGAACAAATGGAGCAAAAGATCTTAAAGGTTGAGAAACAGAGAAGGAAACAAACCCACACAGGAGAAACTTCAGAGTTCTCAGTTAACCACCCGGGTACAGTCTCCAACTCCTCAGTGACTGTGCTGCTCCCCCAGGAGAGTGGAGGAAGGCAGGAAGCTATACAAGAGGGAGACCCAGGAGAAACGGGTAGGAAACCCACAAGCTCCAGCCTTAGGAGCCCACGCCACACCCAGGGCAGTGGAAAGCACAGCCCTTGCCACCCAGGTAGCACCTCCAGGGAGCTGCTTCCCGTCGGGGTTCTTCCTTCTGCTGAGACTGGATTTCTTCTGAGTTCTCCTCCTGAGATTGCTGCCCTTGCCATACCCCTTCACGTCTCACTTCTGTTATTAAAAGTCTGGAAACAAAAGGTGGCTTCAGCACAGACATTTAGCACTACTGAAAAACATCAGCCATCCCAGTCCTGGGCCATCACTCATCAGCCCTTCACTGTCACTGGCTAGGTCTTGCCTTGGGCGCAACTGTTCCATCCCCCCAGAGCCCTGTTTCTCTGTCTCCCCAAACTCTCCCTTTCCTCCCATTTTCAGCTCCCAGTCTTCTGTACCTATATTTAAAAAACAAAACAAACAACAACAAAACTGTCCTAGTCTGTTTTCTGTTGCTATAACAAAATACCCAGAACTGGGTAATTTATAAAGAAATTCATTTGACTCAGTTTTGGAGACTGAGAAGTTCAAGAGCAGGTACTCAGCATTTGGTGAGGGACTTTTGCTGCATCATAATGTGGCAGAGGGCATCAGGTGGTGAGACAGCAGGTGAGTAGCTCAGGTCCCACTTCCTCTTCTTATAAAGCCAGGGATGCCAGGAGGGGGCTCTAGCCTCATGCTCTCCTCTAATCCTAATCACCTCCCAGAGGCTCCACTTCCAAATAACATGAATTTGTGGGTTGTTTCCAACATACAAACTGTGGGAGTGCATTCAAACCACCCCAAAACAGGCTGGCTCTTCAAATGGCTCCCCAAACTCTGCTTCAAACTTGTGATCATATAAAGCCCCACAGATTTTTGTAATCAGCACAGAGCTGTCTACTTTGGTCTCCACTTGTAACATCCTAAGTCACCTGAAAAGCTTTAAATTATAGTTTTTTTCTTTCTGATCAAATTGCCAGCCAGGGCTTCCAGTGAATGATTGCCTCAAAACAGGCTGGGCTCATCATTACATATTAAAACTTTAAATCTTGCTCCTCTGATTTATGTCAGATGATCTGAAAATCATGTTTACCCCAGTCCTTCTCTTCTGCGTAGCTATTGATGAAATCTGGGTGAACTTTAGCCATCCAAAATACCTCTAGCTTGTTACTTATGTACCTTTGCATTGTACTCTTGCACGTTACTAAGTTTTCCATTTATGATAGAAAATACCTCAGATAATCAACTTATGAAGGGGAGATTTATTTTGGATCCCAGTTTTGCAAGTTTCAGCCCATGGTCAGGAGCCCATTGCTTTGGGGCCTGTGGAGGCACATTACTGCAGAAGCATGTGGCAGGGCAAAGCTAGGATGCAAAAGAGAAGAGGAAGGCCCTGGGTCCCAATATCTGCTTCAAGGAAACCTTTCAAGACACATCCTCAGTGACCTACTTCATCCCACTAGGCCCACAACCCTACAAGTCCCTCTACCATGCAACAGCACCCTCAGCTGGGGACCACACCTTCAACTCGTGGCCTTTGGGGATATTCCAGATCCAACCCACAAGGGGCCCTGCATTTTAAATTTGCTCTGAGCCCAAGGAATACATAGCTTGTGGTGCAGCAGGAAACAAAGTCTCTTCCCCAGGGTTCTTTTGCGGGTCAGGAAAAACAATGTGAACCTACATAACACACAGCACAGTGTTCGCTCTAGAGCCAGTTACAAGACCTGGGATTAGATTATGTAAGCGTTGACAGATAGTAAGGACTATGGATTTCAGGGGTTGGAAGCGTAATGAAATGCCACTTGTTTCAGAAATCCGTGCTTCGGCTGCGGAGCAGAAAGCCCAGAAAGAGGGAGGGGCGGGAGCGGTGGGCGGACACGCGGGTCAGCACGTGGGGGTGCAGGTGTGAGCGGGGGACCGCCCAGGAGGGAGGCGTCCCAGGCCGGTCCGCAGCTTCCTTGGCACGCGTATTGGGTGTCAGAGTGCGCGCAGCAAACAGGCTTTCGCCACCTTGGAACTCAGACCGCTTCTCCTACCTCCCGGGGCATAGCATCGGAGCCCGGGAAACTGCCTTGGCCAGAAACAGGAAGGCTCAAAAGAAAGGCCTCCCTGTGGTCCGTGACGGCTTTCCTTACTGAAAGCGTAACTCTGCCACTCTTTCCCTCCGCCGTGCGCCTGAGCACCAGCAGTCCACACGCGCCAACCCCGCCTTCGGCTGGCCGCGCCTTCCGAGAGCAGCTTCCGGTTCCCCGAGCTGGTCCTCCAGGACACCGAGAGCGTCGGCCAGAGTGCCGGCGCCCTCTTCCCCCTTGCGGCGTCGTCTGACGACGTGCCAGAACCAACATCGCGCCTGCGCCTGCGCCCTCCGCGGCGACGGTGGCTGTGTGCGTACGTCATCGCGGGCGCGACGCCCCGAGGGACAGTCAGGGGTCTGGCGGTCCAGAGGTGCGGCTGTAAGACCGCCCGGGAAGATGCCAGTGGCGGTGATGGCGGAAGGCGCCTTCAGTTTCAAAAAGTTGCTGGATCAGTGCGAGAACCAGGAGCTCGAGGTCGTCGTCTGCGCCTCGCGGGGAGGACTGGGGCGGCGCGGGTTTCCAGGGTAACGGGGCCGGGCCTGGGGCTCGGGCGCGCGCCCGCCGGGAGGGACGCGCTGGCAGCTTCTGGTGGTCTGTGCTTGGTTTTGCGCCCGGAGCCGCCTCGCGTCTTTTCTCCGGAGCCCAGGGACGCGCTTCCCGTGGTGGGGACCGCACGTCTCGCGGGCCGTGTCGGGGCGGGCGGGCTGGCAGCCGCCGCAGGACGAGGCCACCGTTTCTCGTTGCCCCAAGCCCTCTTAGTCCCGCGTCGTCGTTACCAAGTGAACCTGCCCTTTCCTCTAGTGGGACGCGTGACAGCGCTGTCGTGCCTTGGTGACAAGTTTCCACATTTCTTAGAAAGGCACCCGGCCGGCGCTCACGACGTGGGTGTGAGTCACTTACTAAAGGAGAGCGGCCACGAGCAGCAGCACGAGCAGCAGGCGCTTCGTGGCTCTTTTGTAAAGAAACTAAGTTGAACCCGGAGAGCAGCGTTGGTCGGCCCCTCGCCCCCTTAAACTCCCAGCGTGTTCCATATAAAGGACAGTCATACTGCTTAGGAGCCTTTAGACGGTATTTGTTTCTCATAAGAGTATTTAAATAAAAATTTGAGAACTGGGAAAAGGACTAGCTTAAATATTCTTGTGTGTATAAAATAGCAGACCCAAAAGAAGATAAATACCAGCTGATGACAAATCTAATCTTAGTACTGTGGGGTTTAGTGCTTAGTATTTCTCTGATCTGTGTCTACATTTATGATAGTACCGTAAGATGGGCTTCATTTTTAAATTAGTGTTAACGAACCTTTTATCTTTATGAAAGCATAAGAGTAAATGAGGTTTTTCTCCTATTTTTGACTTTAAAGGCTCCTGGAGGAATTGCTACACCCCCAGTGTATGGTCAGCTTTTAGCTTTATATTTGCTTCACAATGACATGTAAGTTCCTTTTACCTGAAACTAACAGTAGCTGCTTCTTCACGGTTACACGGGAATTAGTTTTGCCTTTAAGTAGACCATGTAACTCAGGCACAATGGGCTGTATTTCCTATTATGATACCTATTATACCTATTTCCTTTTCAATCAAAGCATAATGAATTATGTTTAGATGGTTGTGTTAAGATAGATTTGTTTTACAAATGCCTTTCAAAAAGCATTTTAATTTATTATGAGAAACTACAGTGTAGTGAATTCCTTTCTTCCATTGAACTTTTTTTTAAATCTTTTGATCTCTCTGTTCTTAACTTCACATATAATCAGTAGATCAAAAGAAGCTTAAAGGGAAGATTGAGAAAGCCAAAAATTCATTATCAACATGTATGAGATTTCCTAGAATTTTTTTTTTAATTTCTATTCACATTTCTTAGGAAAATAAGCATAGCTGTGCTAAAGAATAATAGTCTCCTGTGATTCTGACCCATCCTGATAAAATTTTGCTTGAAATTCTTCCAAACTCTTTGATATATTTTTTAAAAACTAAACTGAGGTTTTCATTACACATACATAAATTATTTGCTTCATTTTTTTATAATACCATTATTTTGTATTTGTTTCAACCCCTTAAAAATTCTTGCATTGAAATTTTAGAGACTTTGATTCCACTGCCAAGAGAGGTCTTAATGAGAAGAGCATTGTGTATCGTATTGTCAGGAAATGCCAGAGCTGATGAAATATATAAATTGTTTATTTTTATTTGAGTAAATTATATGGGCAGTTCTGTGTATGTCTGTAATTTTAGTGTGCTTTGTTTTAGGATCTGTATCATTAATTTTAAAAATTCAAAAATGACAAAACATTATTTTGATGAAAATGTTTCATGTGTTTTTATCTGGAAAATCACTCCTATTTCTCCATGACAAATTCATATAAAACTAAATTTTACTCTGTATTGTGTGTAGTATTTTAAAGTGTACTTCTTTTTGTTTGCATTGGAGCCCAGTGATTTTAAGTACTTATTGAGCTGATGTTTAATTCTTTTTTATTTATTCATTCATTAATTCATTTTGTTCTTTGTGTAACTTAGGAATAATGCAAGATATCTTTGGAAAAGAATACCACCTGCTATAAAATCTGTAAGTATTCTTTTCAAAATAATTTAATTTCTTTAATATAGTAGTGGCATTCACTTAAGTGGCAGTCTCTTAAAACTTCTTGTTTTCATTTCCATGTCACAGAAATAGTTAAACCAACTTTGAAGTTAAAAATAGATCTTTAGATTCCTCTGAAAAATTTAAATTTCCATGGACTGGTACAGAAATCAGTGTTCCCCTCCTACTGGTTAAACTTCCTGAGGTGGGGCTTGTGAGTGTGCTTCAGCCACTTTGCATATATGATAGCAGAGGCTGAGGCGGTGGTGATTTCCAGCTGCTGTGTGCAGTTTTCTATAATGGTACTCACACATTTTTTAAACTGTTATTGTTTATAAAAATATTCAAAAAGTGACTATTCACAGCATTAAAATTAATTTCAAGTGATAACTCTCTTTTCCTTTTTAGTAGATTGGAACATTCCTGAGCTTTTTTGGCTAATAAATAAGAACTATAAATTAAACACATAGTTTCTGTAATATTAGTGGAAACTTTGATGTTAGGTTACGGTGAATGGCTCTTTGATTGACAGTCTGTTAATAGCCAGTTCACTATTACTTTTTGTCCTAAATTTATATGTATTTGCATAAGTATAAAATATTTATATGAGAAAAATTAATGGAACCGTCTTTAAAAATAACAATGCTTAAGATAATTCACCTGCAGGCTTAATTCTGAAATATTTTTTAACTACTTTCTCTTGCTTTAATTTGCTGTTGTATTAAAAATTGTGTATTAAATGTACAAATATTTTCCACAGTTTATAAAAACCTTGGCAGTAGAAAAAATAATTGCATCTCTTAAAAGAAATGTTGAATTATGTCTTAATATAACAACTCAAAGAGTTTTATGTCATTTCTGGTATTTTAAGGTACAGTTATAAGTACATTGCAGAATGAATACCTTCAAAGGCAATAATATATATTGCAGGCAAATTCTGAACTTGGGGGAATTTGGTCAGTAGGACAGAGAATCTGGCAGCGGGATTTCCCTGGTATCTACATGACCATCAGCGCCCACCAGTGGTCTGAGACAGTACAGCCAATCATGGACGCACTTAGAGGTAACATTTCTTTCAGAACCTATGTTGGACTAAGTGCATCTCCCTAGGTGCTGCAGGGTGGAAGTAAATCAGTGTGTTTTAAAAGTAAACATTTTCTCATAGGCAAGTGAGCTGGTCTTCAAAATTCAGTGTTAATATTTGTTCTACTCTTCTTTATTGTATGTTGCTTGAGACTATATCAGCAGCTAAGGGCTTCATTGTCTTTTTATTCTAGATAAAATTGCTTTTGTTAGTAACAGAGTTTTTACTATTAAATCTGGTATTACTGTCACTCATGGTATGGATGGGTAAATCTGGGCTTCAGATTTTGTTAGCCTCAGACTTTGATAACTGTTGTCTCCAATTTCTGGATTTTTAACTAATCAGTTGAATGCATAGATGCTCAAATGTGTTTTTAATTTCTTTGAAAGGTTGTAAGCCAGGCTTCACATAGCACTATCCCATGACAAAAATCACGTCTCATCCTCTCTCCATTCAGCCACCACTAGCGTTTGCTTCTGGTCGTCTTGGCTCACTGTTTGATAAGTGTATACAATAATTGCATTACATTGTTGTCTTCTTTACAGATGGTAAAGATTGTTTTTGAGATATATATAATTACCTTGAGATGGTAAAACAGAACAATGTAAATTATAAAACTGGACACATCTACGTTAAATATGAATGAAAATGAGCAGAATTTCAGGGCAGGCAGCTGGGTGAGAAGGGAGCAGAGTGGAATCAAGTTGTACAAGTACAGTGGGCTCGTTTTGAAAACTGCCTTCTGAAGAATTCAGATATGCCTCCAGGATTTATTGTAGTAACGGACTTTCTTAGCTAGGGGCTCATTCTGTTAATGGCAGTATCAAGGACCCAGGGTGAGGCTTGAGACTCCCAACTTAGTCAGCAAGTGTTCTGTGGCATGCCTTTGGTCTCTGGTTTCATTTCTTCCGAGCACCTTTTCTCACCATGGAGTCTCTGTTAGAGTTAAGAATTGAAGCAGCTCGCAGACCATTTAAGAACTGTATAGCACTACTTGTGGGGCTTGGTCTCTGGAGCCTGGCTTCCTGGTGTTTACTTCTGGTTTGGTCACTTGTTGAAGATGACCTCGCAGTGCTTCATTTTTGTCGTTTGTGGAACAGAATTAGAAATAGTACTTTCCTCAGGTTGTTAGGATGAATTAATATGTTTAAACACCTGTGTTCTAAAGCATTCATCTCTTTACCTACAATATGCATGAACATACTCTTGAGACTTTTACAACTCCCCAAATTCATAAATAGTAGCATGTTTTCCCCCATAAATTGCAGCCTGTTGAGAGTAGTGTCATAGCAGATTTGAGTTACTGCTGAGTGTAATAGTTTGCTTTTCAATGCATTACACATTTGTTCTCTAGTTAAGAACAATGACTAAATTAATTAATTTTCTGTTGTTACAACAAAGTGCCTGAGGTTAGGTACTTTATAAAGAAAATAAGTTTATTTAACTCACAGATTTGGAGGCCATAAGTCCAGGATTGGACAGTCGTGTCTGTGTGACCTCTGGTGAGAGTTTCGTGGTGGATGGCATCACAGTGGCAAAAACACCAGTGGAAGAGATCACATGGTCAGGCAGGAAGCCAGAGATGTTCAGGGGCCAGGCTTGCTCTTTTGGTAAAAGTCTGTTCTCGTGTAGCTGGGGTCCACAAGAGCTATAAATCTCCTCCAAAGGCAGTGCCCCAGTGGTCTAACTACCTTCCATTAGGCCACGCCTCTTAAGGGTTTAGGTGACATCATTACATGGAATACAAAGTTTCCAACACATAACCCTTGGGCAACACGCTGAAACAGTATCCAAACCACAAGTCACTTTCTTAGATTTCTTTCAGTTCTGTTCTAAATTAGTCATAGTCCTGTGAGGAAGGTTGAAGAAGGCCTAACAGAGACTCATGAAAACCTTGCATTCACCAGCAAGAGCTACTGAAGCTCCCGGGACTGAGGCCTGGAGGGACAGGGCAGGGTACTGGTAACTGTGGGAAGGGGGCTGCCTAGCAGGAGCTGTGGATTCAGATCAGTTGGAGAAAGTCAGGGAGGGAGCAGAGGACGTTCCCTGACCTTTGCCTCTGGCCTGTGATGCCTAATGGAGCCCCCACTCGCCAAGCCAAGAAGCTCAGATGCTCCAGTCATTGGCAGCCATCTTCCCTGCACACAGCAGGGTAGAGAGGGAGAGTAGGTTAGAGGGTGGCACCCTGACCAGCTCATCTGCCCTCTGTCTCTAGCACTGGCAGAGGCAGTCCTTGGGGGTGATGGGCACCCCAGTATTGGTTGAACACTGAATGGGCATTCCTGTGAGGGACCTCTGCTTCCACTAAGAACATGTCCCGTGTTTGGTCACCACAGTGTTGGGTGCTGGCTCAGTTCCGTCCACTAGCATGTGTCATTGGTATGCATACCTTCATGATGTGACAAACTGCACAGCTCCTGAGGGTCACAGAGTGACTGGTCAGAATGTGTTGTGTCAATCATTTATGCCAAGTGGAAAGTAGCCGAATGCCGCATCCTCTGCTGGTGCTGGGATTGCCGAGCCTTTGTTTTGCTTCCCTCGGCAACCTGCTTCTGTCCCCCAGCGTGTTCAGTTTCCCAGTTATACCTCTTGCTGCTTCTCGCCTCCCCTTCAGCTGTCCTCTTCACACTCTATTTCTGTTCTGCTCCCTACCCAAAAGCCTGATCAGAATATTTGAAGGAGACAATATTTTTAAAACACCGTAGGCTTGCCAGGCCAATGTAGCTGTGTGGCATACACTTGTATTTTCCCAAGGAGGCAAATATGTGTCCCTTGTCCATTGCTGCCTCAGTTCTTTCAACTGAATGTCTGTAGCCTTCAACAGAAAAAGTCCCAGTATCTCTAAATTGTTTTAAAAGTCTGTTTAGTTAGATTGTCTGTGGGTTGGTAGAAAGAAAGAAGGAGCCAAGTGCAGGACAGTGGCAGTGAAGGAACAGCTGAGTGTCAGTGATTTCCAGGGATTATGAGAAAGCAAGGCCTTAACCTGGGGACCTGGGGTCATGCACCATTGGGTCCTGGTGACACGGCCCACAAGCTTGTGCTCATCACATGCCTCACTGGAGGTACTGGCCACGTTGGGGATATAAAGACAAAATCGACAGCATTGTTTTGTCCGGAATTTTGGAATATAATTGAGAAGCTGGAGGTGGGCGAAACAATGTGTAACTTAGATGGTTAAAAAAAAGCTTATTAAATTAGAAACGTAAACAGTAATGCTATGAATTTAGAGAGGGATGGAGATTGTCCAGAATCGCAGTGCTGTAGGAGGAGTTTATAAACACATCTCGGAAGAGTTGCAGAGAGGAGGCTGTTGCAGGCCATGGAGCAGTATCACCCAAAAGCCCAGGAGTAAGACTGAGAGCTACGGGACTAGTTTGGAGCAAAGGATGTCTGAGGGAGTTGCTATCATCGTGTTGACAGTGGCCTAGGAATGGAGAGAGGACTTCAGTATGTTATGGGTTTGTTTTATATGTGCACTTACCTATCAAGTATGGAAAGTAAAATCCAAAATGTTTCTAAGCATGTCTGCAGCCAGATGGAGGAGCCCTCGTGTCACCAAAAGTATTGGACAGGAGGAAGGTAGGCCAACTGGATGGGACAGCTCTCTCATTTGTGTGTTTAATGTGGACATGTAAGCCTGAGAAATATCCCCAAGACCATCTGAAGAGTCGATGTGGCTGGTGTCTAGACCCCCTTCTCATTAGATGCAGTCATTCAGTGTTGGCATTTAGAATTTTGAACCTAAATGAAGTTAAGAATTTGATGCAGACTTGGAAGTTAGGACTCATGCTCCATTACAAGGTTTATTCCACAACTCAGGTGTGATCATATGTTAGGGACCCTGCTGAGGTTTTCTTATTGTTCACTCCAGTGTTTATAAGGAAATACAAGAAGAATAAGAGAAACTTAAGATGTATACTTGAAGTACATAAATGTGTTTCAGTTAAATTTTTATTAGAGTTTGAGTCTTGTGTATATTAACTGTTTTCCATCTTTATAACTCTCATTGCCGTCAGATCTAAAAGGAAATGTAAGAAAAGTTTGTTTTTTATCAGCAGTATTTGAACCCTTATATGTGCTTTGCAGGCACGTGCATATGCTAAGCACAGACATCTTTGGGTTGATCTGGTGTTGCTCATGAGGACTGGGCAAGGGCAGCGGTGCATGGTAACCGCTGTTAAAATGCCTGCTCTGTTGGTTCCCTCACCACCCTCCCCACTTCCACAATAGATGCCACAAGGAGACGCGCCTTTGCCCTGGTCTCTCAAGCATACACCTCGATAATCGCTGATGATTTTGCAGCTTTTGTTGGACTTCCTGTAGAAGAGGCTGTGAAAGGTACTTGAGTTTACTTTTTACTGAAAAGGAAAATAGAAGAGAGGTGTAAATTACAGGTTCACAGTGCCTTCTCTGGACCGTGAGAACAGGGTGTGTTTGGGAATTGAGGTTGTGCTGGCTTTTTAGGAACGTGATATGAAACATGTATTGCACACCACCCCCAGTGGGGCTTTGGACAACAAGCACAAATATGCTCATTGCTCACACTTAGAAATCTGTGTTTCATTCATGCTTGGTAAAGTTAGTCTCATCCTATAGCCCTGTTTAGCCCATGTTTTCCCCACATTTCCCACCTGGGCCCTGAGTGCCTATTGCCCGCTCTGCCCATTCCTGGAATATTGCATGCACTTTGTTGCGTTGTTATATAATGATTGACATTTCTGCTCTCCAACTAAAGTAGACGCTCCATCAAGTACCACATCTTTTGTTTTGCTTAAATTTCCAGGGCCTAGCACAGTTCTAGACACATAAAGGACAAGGTGTTTGAAGTTCCTTTTTTTCTCAGTACTGGGAACTTAGGGCTTTATGCATTCTTAGTATGTGCTCTACCACTGAGCTACATCTCTAGCCTAGATGTATGTGGTTACTCTCATACAAACATGAATCTATGTCTTTTCTCTTAAAATTGTTCTGTGATTTATCTAATGTGTATTATATTCCAGAGCCCATACTCTTAGCTGACAGCCTGGGCATGAATCCTGGTCCCCAATATGATTATAAAAGACATCATACATTTTGCTATGCCTGTCATTAATAATATAACACTCTATACAGAACAAACCATCTGTTAGTGATTAAAGCAGCCTGGTAGAGTAGCATGAGATGCTTTGCTATGTTTCCGAAATAAGTTAACATGCAAGTGACAGGTTGATTGAAACATGTCAGATCTCCTGTACAAGTAGAATAGTGGATGGGTGTGGGTCTGGTGAATGTTTGGGTTACATCTTAACCTGTGTGTGAAATGTGCATTTCCAGGTATACTAGAACAAGGATGGCAAGCCGACTCCACCACCAGAATGGTTCTGCCCAGAAAGCCAGGTAGGCTGAGCTCTGTACCCATTCCTTCAGCACTAAACTCCAAGACCGCTTCAGGGTTTCAGGCCTTGAGTTCGGATAATTTGATATAAAATGCTAACATGATGGAAATAACTCACATTCTAAATATAGATAGGAGTGTTGGCACTTAAGGTAGAAAGGATCTTAAAGGTCATCTAGTCTTTAATTTTTAAAAAGGTTTTCTTGTGTACATGAGTTGTATGTAGGCATCTCGTGGTCATGCGTCATGGTTTGTGTTGACAGTTAATATCCCATCCTTTTATCTGTGGAGCCATTTCTAACTGCTCACCCTCAGTATCTGAACTTTCAGCCTGTTAAGTTCCTCTCTCCTCCTTGTACTTGAGCCATACAGATTCTTCTCCTATGGCTTCGCTTTCTCAGGACTATTGTTGTCGCCTGCCTTTCAAGGCCTGAAATCCCGCAAGCCTTCCCCGTCACCTTAGTCTGAGTCCACAGCCCCTCCATGTTGCTCTGCAATGAGCCACACTTGTTCCTGCTGCTGGCTTCTCTCCCTCCTGCCACCACAAGTGCTCTTATCTGCCAGCTCTTAAGAGCCAGGCTTAATGTCCACTTTCACAGACCCTTTGACATCAACCCCAGTTTCCTTCACCTGCTCTGAACACCTGCTGTTTACATACTGCTGACCACGGGCAGGTGGTACACCATGTCAGTGTGCCAAGCTATGTGAGGGTGCAGAACGGCAAGCTATGTCCCAGCCACTCTGGAGGCGAGGGAAGACTAATGAAATAGAGTCTGTCATCATCCCTGACTGAGACTCAGTGGCTGTAAATGTGTATTTTATGAAAAATGGTATATTCTATGAAAGGTCTTGACAATGACTTCTGTAAATTGGGCTATGATTTTTTTTTTTTTTTTTTTTTAGTTGCAGGGGCCCTGGATGTTTCCTTTAACAGGTTTATTCCTTTATCAGGTATGTGTTTTCATATGCTCTTTTTAAAATGTTTCATTGTGCTTAGCATCTTTTTTGTAATATGTATGCATTTTTCTTAGTTCTTAAGAAACAGGTTCAATTCTATAAATTTGTCGTGATACACCTGATAGAAGGGTGAGACTGGGCTCGCCTGGTGCAGCGGCGCCCTGTAGGTAGTGCGCCTCCTTACCCCACCTGGGCCCCACAGCTCCTCACTGTTGATCCAGAAGCATTCTAAATGCTGAACGCAGCTCCTCCAGGGTGGGCTCCTGTGTCATTTTGTTCACTGACAGTGTCATATTCTCCTGGAATGGAACCTAGCACCTGAGAGGCCCTCAGTAATTATTCCTGGATTAATGTCCCTGGGTAGAGGCTTTCCATGAAATGCTGTTATCTCCTAAGAGATGCTGGGCATTAAACACGCTTTGAGCCTTGGCCTAGAGAGTGTCAGTAACGGCTATAGCTGCAGTGCCGCTGTGCCTCTAGGCCAGCTGGGGAGACCATGTCTTGGAAGTGTGCAGGCCCCTCGGAGGCACAATTTTGTCTAAAAGCAGGTAGCTCCAAGAAAGTTACTTTTGGGTTAAAATTAAAGACATGAATGGGGTGGGTGGCAGAACCAAAGCGTTGTCACACTGGTATCTTAACTTGAAATGTGTTTCTGTCTTCAACATGCAGAGCCTGCCCCAGTTCCACCAATCCCCAATGAACAGCAATTGGCCAGACTGACCGATTATGTGGCTTTCCTTGAAAATTGATGTACCATTCTGAATTCAGCATCCACTTCAGAATCCTGTACACTGACAAATACAGAAATGTAAAATTTTTATTTTCAATTTACTGGATGGATTATACGCACCTCAGCATTCCTTATTGAGTATGTGATAAAATACATATATAATATAAAAATATTATATATATTTTGTCCTTAAACATTATGCTAAATAGATGTTAAAGCAATTCTCATTTTGTAATATTTAACAATCTGGTTGGAGCCCATCAGTATTAAGCGGTTAGTTTATAGTTCCTGGAGATCCGCAACGCGAGCTCCCTGCCTGGTGTAGAGCACAGCTGTCACTGCCATCCCTGCCTGGTGCACACCTCTGTCTGCACCACTGGTGGAGAGGCACAGCTAGAGCAGGACGGTGCTCGGGGCAGAACCTGAATTGCTGGGATTGTGATTCACCCTTCTTGGAGAAAATGTTCCCTTTTCTCCCACCTCTGGGGAATCACTAATAGGTACAGAAATATAGCTAAGGAGCAAGTAGACCATTTTCCTGAATAAACCAGTTTGTTAGTGTTAGTTTTTTCCCAATACTGGGAGTGCATTCATTGCTGGCAGTGGAGGGCTTGCCAGGCACATGCCATGTTCCCACGTGTTCAGTTCAGAGGGGAAGGTTGAGTGCACGGTGCCTTGTGTGGCAGAGAAGCGTTACAGTGAGTGAGGCACTCCATGCAACTCTCCTGCGTCCAGTTGGTTGCTGACATTTACCCTGAGGTTCAAGTTCTGCCTTTTGAAGAATTGCTGAACACCTCTTCATTCTTTATGTGACAGCCCTCCACATATTTTGAGTTTGTTTATTGTATCTTTAGGTTAAAATACCCCTTAGTTCATTTATTCTGCATTTGTTCAATAAATATTTAATTGAATTCTTCAACTGTTCCATCTGAGCAAGTTTCTAGAGTTTTCACTGTCTTGGTCTTCTGTGGATACTTTCTAGTTTGTCATTGCCTCTCAAAATAAGAATGTCTTAATTAAATAGAAAAGACCTCTATATTGAATCTGTGGTAATAATTACATAATTCATGTTTTCATTCATTTTATTGGGTATTTCAGTTTTTCTTAACATATATGGAAATATCTTTTATTTGCAATTATATTTAATCTGGATAGGAACATCATGTTGTTAAAATGTGTTTTACAACTGAGGAAATGGAAATGTGAGAAGTCTTCCAGATGTTAAGTACACATCATGTCCGTGAGCTTTGTTTTTCATGGCAGATTGGAACCAACCAAAAGTTCATTGATGGGATTTTTGGAATAAGCAGTGCTGTAGAGCGTGGACCGTAGCTCTAAAAAGCATAGAGGTACTCTCTGAGCTAACATGGAGTGACCTCCAGCTGAAAACAGAATAAAAATAAAAGAGAATTAAAAATGAATAGTGCTTCAAGGACCTGTAGAATAATATCAGGACATCTAATATAAGTGTGATCAAAATCCCCACAAGAAGAAAATTAAGTCTTTTAATCATTTTGAAAAATATGCAAAACTTTTTCAAATTTGATGAAAAGTATACAACTCAGATTAATGAAGCTTAACCAATCTCGACCAAGATAAACACACACAATACAAAAGTATGTAATAAAAAAAAGTTAAAGCAAATGGGCATCATCTAGACAGATATGAAAGATAAGAATTCATAAACACAGAAACTAGGCAAGCAATCAGAAAATGGAGTTACATCTTTAACAGCCTGAAAGGAAAAGAAGGAATTTTTTCTTTCAGGCCTGTAAAATAGAAACTTTAAAACTATAGTTCTAAATCCAGTCAAAATGTCCTTAAAAATTAAAATCAGAAAAAAACTTTTTTAGACCAAAGAAAAATTGGAGAGTTCAACAGCAGAAAAACTTCACTGAAGTAAATATTAAAGTTCTTTCAGCAGAATAAAATTATATTAGCTATAAATTAGACCCACACAGAGGAATGAGGGGTTAAAAATGATAACTATCTGGGTGTATATGAAATTAATTTAATGGCTTTAAAAGACATTTTTAAAGCAAAATAGTGTATTGGAGGATTTTTAACACGTAACATTATGTGTGTATAAAGCATATGGCAAAATACGATAAAGAATTAGGGGGAAATTAATATGTACTTTTATAGCATTATATGTATATAAAAGCATATGGCAAAATACAATAAAGAATTAGGGGGAAATTAATATGTACTTTCAACAATTTAATATAAAGTTAAATCATGATAAGGAGACAATCCATATAGTTAAGTCTAGAGTTGCAGTGTTCAATATGGTAGCCACTGGCTGCAGGGGGTTAAATTTAAATTAGTGAAAATGAAATGAAATTTAAAAATCAGCTCCTTAGTTGCACCAGATGCATATCAAATACTTAATAGCCACATGTGGCTACCATATTTGAGGACACAAGTATAGAGTATTTTCAGCATTACAAAAAGTCCCAGTGGATCTTGCTGCTCTAGAATGACCACAATAACACAGGTGCAACAAGTCAATCGTGGGCATAAGAGAAGATAGTAAGTTTAAAAATACTCCATTCCAAATATGGCAGGAATCAAGAGAGGAACCAAAAATAGATGGGGCAGATGGGAAATAAATACCTTGAGGATGGATTTAAGCCTGTTTAACATAAATAATTGTAAACACTCCAGTTTTGAAAGAGTCGTCAGTGAGTTAAGATGAAAGATCTAGCTACACTATGTGTACAAGAAACCTATCAGGGGCTGGGGTTGTGGCTCAGTGATAGAGCGCTTGCCAGGCACATGTGAGGCACTGGGTTTGTTTCTTAGCACCACATAAAAATAAGTAAATAAGATAAAATTATATAAAAAAAAAAAACCCTAGAAAGTCAGCTAAAAGTAAAAGAAATGATGTATCATTGCAAACACAAAACTGCTATGGCTATGTTAACAGATGATGTAAATTTTAGAAGGAGTATTTCAAGGGATAAAGAAGGACCTTTCAACATGATAAAGCAGTTTGTTCATTATGAATCCATTAAGCACCCAACAGTAGAACTTCAGAAGTACAGGAAGCCAAAATCGATAGAACTGAAAGGAGAAAAAGAAGAATCTACAATTTAGCTGGAGATTTCAATACTCATCCCATAGTAACTAATGGACCATTAGAGCATGTGAACATCACCACCAGCTCGTGGACCTGAGTGATGACCCATGGAACTAGAACTAGCCACCACCAGCAGAACCAGCCCTCACCAGACAACCGTCCTTGGCCACAGCAAGTCTTATGACCCTAATAGGTCCAAGCTCTGACCATAACAGTATCAAGTTAGAAACCAATAGCAGAAAATAGATGGAAGAGCTCCCCAAACTTAGTAATTTTAAAAATGTGCTTCTAAACAATCCATGGAGCAAAGAAGAAGTTAGAAGAGAAACTGAGAAATATTTCAAAATGAATGAAATTCAGAATAGGCATAATAAATTTGAGGGATTACATTAAAGCCCTACTGAGAGTGCAAGTTATATTTTTAAGTATTTATAAAAGTCTAAAATCAATTATTTAAGCTTTCTACCTTAAGAACTTAGAAGAGCAAATCAAGCCCCAGATAAATAGAAGGAAGACAACAATGAAGATGACAAATGACATAGAAATCATACAAATAATGGGGGGAAAAATCAATGAAACCAAAACCTATTTCTTTCAAAGGAGTCGGCTTCTTGAGGGAAATAGTTGGTTCCAGTTTTAAAAGAAGAGAATGTCTGAATATCTTGTGGCAGAAAGCAGGGAGGCCAAGGAGTAGCAGGCAGGCCAAAGGACAGAGGAGCCAGCTTGGATATGAGAGTAAGTCATGATAGTCAAGAACCGTAGCTATTAAACAAGACCCCCGGTTCTGAACTGATACAGCACCCAGGAGTGGAGGGCAGGTCCAGCCAGTGGTGCGGAGTGAATGAGGAACTTAGAATATTTGGAAACTGCTGTGATCTGGTTGCTGAGTGTCCCCAAAGACACATGCTGCATGCTTGGTCCCAGAGTGAGGCTCTTGGGAAGTTGGTGGAGCCTTTAGCCTGTGAGGCCTAGCGGGAGGTCACCGGGGGAATGCCCTCAGGAGGACTTCATAGGACACCTCTTGGTGGCTCTCATGCCACCCCTGATATTCTCCTGAGGGTTGTTATAAAAGGAGCCAGCTGGTCCCACCTGCTCTCTTCTCTCTGCTCCTGTTGGCGACGTGACTGTTTGTTTACATTCCTGCCATGGAGTTCTGCCATCCCATGCTGTCACCAGAAAGTAAAGCAGTGAGGCCACACATTGTTGGCTTTGAACCTCCAAACTATGGCCCTAAATAAACTCGGTATTTTGTTGTCGTAACGCAAAGCTGACTAATACAGAAATCACCATCATAGTTGGCAATAGGTGAGGTTCATAAATGGATAGTCAATTAGTGGATAAAATCTTGGGAATTAAGAATATTTACAGATCCAAACGTCCTTCCTACAACGTTAACCAAAGGGAAGTATGTGAGCATTTTAGTGAATGAAACTGAGCTCCGTAACAAAGTGACCTTTATCAGTAGAGGGTCACCTCAGCACCAGGGGCCTCTGGGTACAAATGTTGAGGAGAGCACCTCAGTTCTGTGGTGTCCAAAATGTAAATGCTTCATTAATAATAAAGAAGCATAACGTTAACCCAAGATGAAGAACCTTTTACAGAATAACTGGATCTCCTTCAAAAATGTAAATTTCATAAAAACAAAAATTGAAAACTGTTCCATGTCAAAGGGAACTAAAGGCATAAATAACCACCGTAAATGCACTGCTATGAAGCACATTCTTTGCAGTTGGTGAAATCTGGATAAACTCTGTAGGGTTAGCAAATCACAGCCTGTGAGTCAACATTGGGCTGATGAATATTTTTGTAAATAAGGTTTTTTTGGAATCCAACCACATGCATTTATGTCTATATTGCCTGTGGCTGCTTCATACAGTGATGGCAGAATTGAGTAGTTGAGACAGAGACTATCAGCCTGTAAAGGCTAAAACTTTCACCCTCCTGACTATAGAAAAAGTTTTCTGATCCTTGGATTTGATAAATTTGTATCAAACATTAATTTTCTTGATTCTGTTGATTTTATAGCATTTATGAAAGAGAATGGCCTTTTAAGAAAATAAACCTACTTATATCAGTAATAAATAAACTAATTTTATAAGATGATATCATCAGTGAGAACATCAAATTCACAAAGTTGTGGTGCTTCCAGATTGTTACCGTGCGCAGTACATCCACACAGGTAGATACTTGAAAAGTCTCCTGGAAGTTTGGTAACTCTCACCCTGGATTAGTAAGTATTAAGTTAGAGCCATCTGAAAGCAAAATACCTCCATACTAAAAAGCTACTATTGCCCAGTACATTGAGTCTGAATCTTTGAGATACTCAGCAAGGGGAAAGACACCAATTAATTTTAGACTCCAAGTTAAATGTGCATGTGAAAATACAGGGTTGGCATCTGCTTCCACCAATGGTTAACAGACTGGAAGAATGCCCTCAGTCTAGAAAAACGAAAACGCTGCTAAAAGTAGTGTTTAAGTTATTTATAATTTATGGACAGAAAAGTAAGGATACCTTTGAAGACCAGCAACCACTCCACCCTAGCACTGGGGCCTGCATGTGTTCTGGGGACACCTGCCCATCTTGATGACCTAGAACCTGAGTACTCTGGGCCTCTGATGAGGAAGGAAGCAGAAAACAAACCCGAAGTTTGATCAGGTAGCAGGATCAGTCAACTCAAAGTAGGACAACTTATAGATCCCACTCTGGGAGGCTGAAGGAGAGAAAACCTGCAGCCCCTCCCCGGCCCTGCCCCATAGGAGCAAGCCTCACTCACCCAAGCCTATTTTCAGCATTTTACGGTTTCTCCCAGAAGTTCCGCAGAAGCAAAAACTCACAC